TAGACAAAACTCTTTTGTTCAAAAGTAAATTTTATTTCAAAATGTGCATGAGTAGTTTTAATCATGTCTTTTCATGTGCATCACCTAATCATGAACATATCCTGGTCACATGAAAAGTTGCATGTTGTTTTGGATCAAAAAGTTATATGAAATGATATTTTCGCTTTGCTTAAAAACATTTTTGTTAATTGAGTAGAAACATGTGATGTCAACTAAACCTTGCATTCATGTTCAAATAACTCTAATTTAACTCTTGAACAAAAGTTAGTTAGGGTTTATATTTGAAAAATGTAAAGAAAGTGCTTAAAAATATCCAAAACCCTAGCTTAAGCCTTTCTCATGATCCCTTTTTGTTTAATTTGTAACTTTGCTTTTTATTTAAAATATGAAAGATTTGTCTAAATAAAAGTTGTAGAGTAGGTCATGTTCTTGAAACTTTGTTTCTGCATCATCCTCTGTTTCAGCTTTCAAGTGCTTCAAACAATGGCTCCAAGTTTGAATTCAGTGCTATTTTTCCCTCACTTGGCATTTTGGCTTTGTTCTGAAAAACAGTAATTAACTTCAATCTTTGGTGAATTATTAAATGAATTTTCATGAATAAAATTTATGCAACTTCTGTTTCATTGATTGGTATGATGTTTGAATATGATAATGTGTAATTAGATTAACTGTTTAATTAATGGTTAATCCTTAATTAATTACCAGAGATGCTTAAACAAAACAGTTTTCCAAAAACCTTGAAATGAAATTCAATTCACAGTTTCTTGTACATGTTTTCGAAATTCAAAATCTTCAAAACTAGTGATTATTTGATGTCGATCCTTAAAGCAAAGTTGAAGATCTCTTGTAGATGAACAACTTTGGGTAAAGGAGATCATCACGTTTCTACATCAAATCGGGAGAACAAGAGCCAAGAAAAGGGAGGTTCAGTCATGAACAGTAACTCCGGCAGCAGCAGCTTGGCTGCCTGCCTCGCCGCTCGCCGTCGGCTATCCCCTCCTCCGTCACGTCGCCGAGCACCGCCAGAAGCCGCCGCTGCCGCGCTCTGGCCTGCGCATGGCGGTATGCCTCGAACTAGCTTCGCCGAGCCGCAGCGTGCCCCTCCCAGTGCGAAAGCGGCGGTCCAAGCTTGCTCTAGCACCGCCCGGCCATCGTCGTCTTCTTTTTCCTTCTCGACCGGCGCCGCCATGGCCGTCTGCCGGAGCAAAGCTCCAAGCCGCCGCATCTCCCTCGCCTCGGCGCCACCTTGCATCCAACCAAGAGCAAACCCACGTTCACTGCCTTCTCGTATTCCCTCCGGCTCGCGTCGGGCCTCCCTCCGCCGCCGGCTAGCCATGCCGCCGGAGCAGCTCCAGCTGCCGCCCTCACTGCCATGGCCAGGCTGCTACTGGCCGCCTCCCGCCGCTCCTCGGCCACCCACGGGTGAGGGCGGGCACGTTGGTGATCGCGCTACCCTTCTCCGCCACCGCCGGCCCTTCTCCGGCCGGGTTCCGGCCTCCCCGACGGCCTTTGCCTCCGATCCCCTGCTCTCTATACGAAGGAAGAAGAAGAAGGACCTCGGGGTGAGAATAGAAGCTCTTCAAGGGTTGTCAATGTAAATCTCGTGACTCACATGAATAGTACTTCTAGACTGCGGGTTGATTTGTAAAAAAATCAGGGGCCTCAAAGTAATGTGGCTGTCTTATATGGTTTTCTCTTTTTCTTTTTCCATAATCTAGCTAAAACTTTCAAAATTCATAGAAAATTATAGAAAATCATAAAATGGAAAATGAAGATGTTCTGGAATCCTCATGACTAGATATATGCAGTGGATATATAATCTTGCATGTGTTAGTAGAAAAATATTGCTATAGATTTTGCCTATGCATTTTAGGGAGAAATTCATATCTACTATTGTATTGCTCCAATTGACGTAAAATTTTTATGGTAGACTTATCATGTGATACTTAATGTTTAGTTAAAAATGTGAGCTTTATTGGAGTATGTATGAGTGAGTTTTTGATTTACCTAAGTCAATGCTTGTTTTATGTGCAATTTCTGTTGAGGAACTATTTTCATAGTGAAAATTATATTTTCTGTGTTTGTGATCTATACAAAAGTTGTAGATAACTTACTGATCTTGTCTTTCCTAAACTTTCATGATTTTAGGCCAACATATTTGGGAGTTATGAATTTTACAAATTCCCTGTCAAGTTTTACTTGTATGCTGGACAGATTTGAAAGGTTATGCTTTTTAGCTTAGTTAATTGTTTAATCATCTCAAGATGATAATAAGAAAGTTGTAGGCATTTTCATAATATTTCCAGAAAGTCTAGGAACACTTTTGTTAGATTCCTACAACTCCAGTTATGATCAAAACAAGTAGCTGTTGTGCTGCAGTCTAGAAAAATTACTTTTGCTAAGTTTGATTGCTTTAACTTGATATGAATAATATGTTTGTTAACGTTAACTCATGCCTTAGTTAAGATTGTTTTTATCTACCTAAAACAGCTGGTCACCTTGTTGTTTAATAATGATCAACTAATTAAGCCAATAGATGGTCTTGTATGTATGTCATTAGAAATAATGTTTGTACCCGACTTGCTAGAACATTTATCATGGTTGGTATGGCTAGCTTATATGAGAGTGTCTTGGTGTTGCTTTGCTATCGTAACTTAGCAGGTTATGTGATGTTTAGTTAATCATCATCCACCTAAGTGCCTATGTTTAATCTAGTTTAATCTAGTGTAACCTTGTGCTTATTTTGTCGCCAAACTATAATACATAATGTATCACTCTTTCTCCACATTCATGTATTGCATCTTTGCATATATCATATAGGTACGCTAGATGTATGACTGAAAGAGTGAAGAACGTGGTGTTGAAACCAACCAAAAGATGATGTTGGTGGACGAATCCAGAAGATGGAAGTACCCGGGAATACATGTCGGGCAAGAGATGCTCGCCAAGCGAGTATCATCTAACAAACACTGACCTAGTTTTGAACCCTAGGCAAGCCCCGGAGCATTACAAACCTCCTACCTCTCTTTTTAAAATTACATTCGAGTTTATCTTTTGTATTGTGCATTATGTTATAAGAGTTGATTGAAACCCGTTGTTGCATTACTTACCTTGTCCACAATATAAGTATCTGCAACCTTACTAGTATGTGTAATTCGCTCTATGCTTAGCTATACTTAGACCGGTAGAAGTCGGGTGATTCCTATCATCCGCAAGATTTAGGTGGCTACTCGGACATGGTTGACTATATTTGCTATCGTGGAAAAGAATCAGGTGATAATGGATAACTGGAGACCGGACGGGATCCGATGTTGTTATGGTTGTTGTTGATGCTGGCTAGACATGTATTCTTTGATCCCGTTTGTGTCATTTAAGAACCGCTTCGTTGTCGGACCTTGGTTGAGATTGAAGGTACCAAACACATAACAGGGGCCCTGAGTTATAGTTGATCGTGAAGCCGATTAGCTCATTCGGGCTGAGTATATTGGACCGTTAGCATTGCTTGGAGGGGAGCCTGAAGGAAGGGGACTAGTCAAGACCATATTTTCTACGGGCTTCGGGCCGGGCAATTCATGTGAGGATACAGGATCATGAGTTTTACGAAACGGTCCAGACTCACCGCCGAATGGAGTGAACGGTGACCCACGCGAGCTAATATGGGCTCGTATGGGTGTGTGTTTAGGATTACCCAACTGGATGTAATCGATTCAAATTACCGTCTCTCCCGATTAGTGAGAAACTTGGTCATTGTCCGACAGTCGTAGTAATTGATGAAACATGATGGTTCTATTGATTATGTAAATTGAATATGGTTACTACTATGATACTTATTAATCAAATGATTGTTACAGGATAGATGCAAACCTAGCTATAATTGGTTTCACTGAATTTGATGCTAAAATATTGAAAGTAAGGACTTACATAGTAAGTTCTTTTTTGCAAAAGATTAGGCTATCCAACTAGTTCCACCAAATGAACCATACATATCCTTGGGGTCTTCATTTTTTCTCCTGTCGGGTAAGTCTTGCTAAGTACAATTGAGTACTCAGGGTTTTATCCCACCCTGTTGCAGGTGAAGTGCTATGTCTGCTGAATATGGTGACTAAGTGCCGATGGGCTCAACTATTCTGTATTTGCTTTTCATCTATGCTTTTGTTGGATGGTGTCATCAGAGCTAGCAATATGATTCAAAATTATGATTTGGTAATCATTACAAAGTTATGTTGTTTTAACCTAATGGATTTGAAACTGAACTTGTATTAATTACTTGTGACCCTATTGTAATATTATTTTTGCTGCAAACTCTGTGTATGTGATATGTATTTGCTTAATCAAGTACGATCTTGGTTGTGAAATTGATTTATCGAGGCCTTCGTGGTACTCGACGGACTACTAAGTTTATATAAGTGACGGTATGTGCGTGTCAACGTGTTTAACGGAGACAGACATACTTAATCTTGTATAAATTGGACGGTTCTGTCACACAGATTCCCTAATTTCTTTGCAAGAACCTCTTCTGCCAATTGGACATATCTTTTTCCCTGTGTTTCCTTGGCTTTATCAGCTAGCAGACTACTTTTTAGTTGTTCACCATGCAAGCTTTGAGTTTGATCCATGGTGGTGTCAGGTAGCAAACTTGCATGTGGGGTTTCAGCTTTAGGTGGAGTGTGGTGTTCTTTCAGTGTTGGGTGTGAAGCCAGTAAAGGCTGTGGTAGTGGAGTTGTGATGTTCATGAGGAATTGATCTAAACTTTGTGCTTTTGCAAGATGACTTGGTGCTGCTGCAGTGTTGGAGTTGGTGCTATCAATCTGTGATTCAGCATCTGTTTCATTATCAGTGTGGCATAATGGTTCAGCACCTGCATCTTCTGAGTTTGGGTCAATGACTTCCAGGGTTGTTGGGAAAACTGAGTTGTTATTTTCCTTAGGCTTCTCCAAGATGGTCTCATCATAGTGGTGTGGTGTATCAGCATCAGCCACAAGCTCTTCTATATCCGTTGATTAGTTCGATAGTAAGGTCCTGTCCTGACTAGCTGCAGCATCAAACATCGCCTGGAGCTTTTTTCCAGAAGATCTAGTCGGAGACATCATGAGAGGTTGTGGATTAATTATTTGTGTCCTAGTGATGAGCGACTCAAACAACATGGGATCGCAAGAATAAATGCTTGGTCCAGGGGCAAGTGTAGTGAAAGAGTTCTCCATGAGGTTGTAGCTGTTATCTTCGATGATTAGTTTTGCCTTGTCCCCCATGATCTGGGTGAGCGGTGTCGCAAAAGTGACATGCTTTGGTAGTGTCCTCTTGTTGCTCTGTTCGCCCATTGGTTTCATCATGGTGTGTGCTGGATCACGATCGTCGGAGTACCAAAACATAGGTGAAGATGCCCTCCTAAAATGCTGGGGACCCTTCTCCTGCAAGCTTTCATCCAAGTGATCATGATTTTCTTGACGTCGCCTCCGATTCAACAACTGAGAGGAGGGTTCACTGTCCCCCTGACAGGCAGATGCTTTGTGTCCTTCTCCTAGGCACCGCCAACACCTTGTTAATCTATTGCAGAAAGCCACTCTGTGCATAGTAAAAAGGCAATTTAGACAACGTCCTCGGACATGGTTGAGAAATCTCTGCCTCCTCTCCTCTTGTTGGTGGGTTTGGAGATGATTGCAAGTCTCTATCCGCTGTGTTTCTAAATTCATTTCGTGGGTAGCTGCCAAAAATTTCGAGGATGAAATGTGGACTTTTTGATGCTTACCGGACATGGTTTTTCTCCACCAATATGAGATGATTGTAAGTCTCTATCCACTGTGTTTCTAAATTCATTTCGTGGGTAGCTGAATTTCCATCCTCAATATTCGTTTCTCCATCCTCTTTCGTTTCTAGGATTGGCTTGGTGATCTGAAACTTGGGATGTCATATTGGTTTGATTGTTGACTGCTCCCCACCTACTAGTGACCCTTGGATGCATCAGGCCGTGGGACCTTGGAAGCCTTTTGTAGCAGCAGCAGCAGCACGCGAAGTCTCGCCGAAGAACTGAGAGATCCTAGTAGTAGTAGCCCTTTGCCGCTCACCATAGCTTCCGTAAGCACTGCTGCACTTCCTTTCCCCGAAATGTCTCTTGCTGTCCAGGTTTGATTCTTTCCACTTCCCCTTCTCTTGGTATGAAAGTCTGCTTGGTGCTTGGTGAAGATCTGCTTCAACACGAGATGCAGGAGAACATTGCAGCTTGGATGGTGGGTCTAGCAGGACTTCATTGCAACCGAGTGGCCTATTGAGGAGATCTTCTACCAATGGATCCTGGACCCATGTCTCGCCAAACTGAGTTTCTTGTAGACTGTGAGAGTGCAATCCTGTCTTGGACAAGCTTGTCGCTGCTACTGATGCCGGCTGGGATATGGATGTCCTTGTTGTGCCATACCTTGAGTTCTTTGTTAGACTTTGATTCCTTCTGCAACTGACAACTCTCCATGGTGTTTTGCAACTGACAACTCTCCATGGTGTGTTCGCTCCTATGTTCCCTGATGTAACGATTCTGCTTGGTAGCCCGCTGAAGGAGGTCTTCCAGCTGTGGATCGAAGAACTGCTCCCTCTCCAGGAAGTATTGGTCGACCCGCCGGGGAATGCGGCCCGAACAAATCGGCCGCCATGGCAGGCCCTAGCTGTGATGCAGAGAAGCCACCCGAGGCCTCTGATGTGAGGAAATGTCGGCGAGAGACCCATGGATGGATAGATCGGAGGGAGGCGCATTTTGGTGTTCGGACGCAGGAGGGGAGGGGAGCGCTTCCTTGCCCCCGCCCATCACTCTCGCCAAGCCCTGCTTTGGTTCCTGTAGCGCTTTTTGGACTAGAATCTATAAGATGCACGACTGTTATTACAAACCAGTATGTAATCAGTGCTCAGCGTGAGCGCGCAGTATTATTTGCAAGGACTAACGAGGGGCAAAAGTCCTTGCAGAGAGTTTATACAGCTTACATGCAAGAGCGGAGAGAAATCTGAGAGTTGTTGAGCACATAATACACTCGCTACATTACATCGAGCCGGAGCAATTCCGTCCTCTAAAACTTGACCTCAACACACAGCAGCATTCGTCCAGAGGGGTAAAAACTGAAAACACGTACTCAGGACAAATTTCACCAGATGTTCAGAGAAATAGGGCAACTTCCGTTGGTACAGCACCCCCCATGAACATAGGGCCAGAAATGCATCGGCTCGGCTGATTAGCAGACGCCGTTGGTCTTGTTCTTGGCGAGGACGGCCCTCTTCCAGAGCGAGATCACCTGGCGCTTCTTCTCCATCACCCTCTCACTCTCCTCGGCGGCGGCGAGCGCGGCGAGGTCGCCGCTGGGGACGCGTGCGGGCAGCGCGTCCAGCTCGTGCAGCACCTTCTCGATGTCGAGCACCAGGCGCTCGGCGAGGGTGCGGCTGAAGTCCTCGCGGATGACGACGCGGAGCACCGTCACGTGCTGCGCGTCGGGGGGCATGGTGTAGGCCGGCACGATCCAGCCGAACCGGCGCAGGAAGTCGGAGATCTCGAACTCGTTGTGCCGGCTGCTGTCCTTGAGGGAGAAGGCCACCAGCGGCACGCCGTTGTCCTTGGACACGATGTTGAACTTGCCTGTCTTCTCCAGACCTTGCTTCAGAACCATCGCGTTCTCCTGGCAGTTCTCCATGATGTTCTTGTAACCCTGCATTTGCAAGCACACTGCCTTCTTAACAATCGAGAGCATACTTATTTTTCCTATTTTCCACAGCGGTACGTGTGTGTGGATACACAAATAATTTCGGCAAAAACGTTACTAATTAAGTGCTAAGATTTACCTCAAAGCCAAGTCGGATCAGCTGGTAGTACTGTGCAATGACCTGGCTGGAACCTGAAATTGTGTTGTGCACCATGAGCAAATGAATTAGCCAGCCTGCATGAGACACAATCACACACTACATCAAAGAACAGGGGAAAAAGTGTCGAAAATGGCACCTTTGGAGAAGTTGAGGGTGAAGGTGGGCTGGTCGGCGCCGAGGTAGTTGATGTGGAAGATGAGCTCCTCCGGCAGGTCCTCCTTGGTCCTCCAGATGCACCACCCGATGCCGGCGTAGACCAGGCCATACTTGTGCCCACTGACGTTGATGCTCTTCACGAGCGGCAGACGGAAGTCCCACTCCAGTTCCGGGTACAGGAACGGCGCGATGAACCCGCCACTCGCTGCGTCCACGTGGATCGGCGTGTCCCAGCTGCACGTTTAGTCCAAGTTCATAAGGAGCGCACCAGCATACACCCGGATGAATACGGATCGTTTACGCTCGAACGAAAGATGCAGTGTGAGGGTGCTTGCTTGTCTATTTATTTATTATTTACCCTGTCTCCGCGTTCTTCTTGGTGAGCAGGTCGTTGAGCAACTTGACGTCCTCGAACTCGCCGTTCAGAGTGGAGCCCAGGATGGCCGCGACGCAGATGGTGTTCTCGTCCACCATGTCCACGGCCTTCTGCGGGTCCATGACGTAGTAGCCGTCGCTCAGCTTCACTTCCTTCAGCTCCACCTCGAAGTAGCGCGCGAACTTCTCCCAGCAAACCTGCATTTTTCACCGAACACATTGATGGGTCGGTAAATGAAATACTTTGTCATTTTAAGCACTGGAGAACGTGGTCTACGCAGACACAACTGGATTGCAATTTGCTTACTTGCACATTGGCACCGGTGACAATGTTTGGCTTGTCGCAGGGCTTGCCGGCGGCCTTCATCTTGTTCTGCCAACGCCTCTTGAACGCCAGCCCAGCCAGCATGATGGCCTCGGAAGAGCCGACGGTGCCCACTCCAACGGCGGTTTCAGAGTCCCCGAGAGGAGCGTTGAAGAGATGCGCGATTATGTTCACGCACCGGTTCTGCACAATCACAATTCAGACGAAAAAGTTTAATTCAAATCGATTATCATTTTGCTCTTTAGAGTGCAAATGGGAAAGTACGAAAGCTACAGTCATGTAGTTCTGAACTTGTGTTGTAGCGCCTCTTATATTATTTTGGATTTCAAAAAGGAGGAACTTAAGCAATTTGAATCAGGCAATCTTAAGGATTTCAAATGCAGTTGCAAATATCAACCCACAAGAGAAATTGGCATTCACATTTAATGATATTTCCCCACACATCTTACTATTCAAATTGAGCATCCACATCAATTCTCAGAGATGTGCTGAAAAGGAAAGAAAAGTCTAAAAAATTCTTAAAAAATCAGTAGACCCTAATCGCCACCGCTTATAATAGTCATTGTATCTATTTTATTTTCTAAATGTTTATTCACCTCTGCAATCATGAAAAACATTAAAGAGTAATCCATCTGGATTACTACATATACCAATATGAAACATAATCTATATTTTGTTTTATTTCAGGAACCCCCTAATTTTTTCATACAAATTACCCACCTACCATTAGGAGAGATAATACAGGAAACATATTTGCATCTAATTACCACCTCTGCCATTATTCAAAGTAAGCTAAGATATCTCAAATCCGAGATTAACAACATCTACTACATACATGGGCTAAAAATATAGACCAGTCTCCAGTGGACCAGTGCCCATTTACAGCCTGTTCGCTTGTTGGTTTCAGCCAGGGCTTATCAGTCAGCCAACAGTGTTTTTCTCTCACAACAACCCAGCAACAGCCGGACTTATCAACCCAGAAACCAACCAGCGAACAGGCTGTTAGAATAGAGAAAATTTAATAAAAATCATACAAAAATTAGTTCAAATGTTTTCAAAGAATACAGGATTTTTAAAATAAAAAAAAATCTGCATTCCAGCCTTTCAGGCATGGCTCTAGACATTGGATCCATGTAATTAGACGATTGAAATTACACAAACCGCTTATTCATAATTTTGTTACAGATTGATCAGACATTTTGTGTAAACAAATGCTGACCTTCCAACTCTCGATGGCCGATCGAACTTGGTGGATGTGAGGATGTCGTCATATTGGCGACGGACAAGGCAAACTAAAACTCCAAAACCACAAGTCCACAACATAGACTCGTCTGATCTCTAATCTTGACGTTTATCAATGGCCACTTGTTAGTAGTAGAATGTCTTTCATTAGTTCCGTAAAACTGCTCCCTATTATCAATAAGTCATCACTTTTTTTTTTTGACAACACAATAGTCATCACTTTTGAGGACACCCTGATGTGAGAGCATCGGCTGCCGCGGCATTATTGGTGGGTGCCCCCGAGCAAGTTGGCCACGTGTTCGGAGTCAGCGACGGCGACCGGCCAATTGGCAGCAGCGGGCAGGCGCTGGTCATGCAGTGACACGCGTTCCTTTCTCATGGTTTCAGACAGGCAAAAAAAGAGAGAGAGAGAGAGAGAAAAGAATAGGAGCAGATACACTGCCTAAAAATACAGATAATAATAGTATATGGGATACTAGGATCTACTACTAAAAACCTGCACTAAAGACAACGAGCACTCGAGCAGGCTCCTCGCCGACCAAGACCATATGACCTCGCACCACGTGACACTTTACAAACACTACATCGAGCTCGAGCCCGTGGTTGAGACTGCGCGACACGAATCACTGAATCAGTCACATGCAATTTATCCGAATCCACAGAAATAGACTGTTTGTGCTGAACTGTCCTGATGGGTATGGGCAAACGGCTTTTATTTCCGTCGCATCGGCATCGCTGCGTTGTCCGGTGGGCCGGTCCGCAGATTCCCGCGGAGATAGATTGGGTACGGGGGGCCGGACTTGTTCGCAAATCGCAGCACTACGCTTGCTGATTGCCGTTGCGAAGCTGCGAAGGCAGCAGAAGTGCAGGATCATGGAGGCATGGACTGATCGTCTGATCCAAGGGATCAAGGGAAATGAGCCAACGCTTCATCGATCTTATCCCCGTCACTCGCCCCACTGCCCCAGGCCAGAAGGGAGACACGAAGGCAGTATTGCAGTAACGAGTATCGGAGTATGTGATGGCTGGCCTGGATAGTGGATACTCAATCATTTTGAATTGTTTTTTCAGTATTAGTTTTCTGAATCCAAGGTCAGATTGCCATCCATCGATAATACATAAATTAAATAAGACCCCGTTTAGTTAAATATCATTTTAAAAAAATTAATTTAGATTTTTTGAAAAAGTATCGAGACGAATGTTTTAAGACTAATTAGTCCATGATTAAATATAAATAAAAAATAAAATAACATGCGTTAATAATAGATTTAAACGAAATTAAATTCTCTTTAATCTTTTTAAAGCAAAATATATATAATTTTTTTCTATTTCGCAAACTAAACACAGCCTTAGTTTTCTGAATCCAAGGTCAGATTGCCATCCATCGATAATACATAAATTAAATAAGTATAAAAGATCCAAGGCCAGATCAGAGGCCAAGTGGGCCAATGAAAAACCACGAGCCGTGTTTGATTACTGTTCTATCGCAAACAACCAATCAAAAAACGGGGGGCAAGCAGGCAAGGGAAAGTGGGGAAAAGGATAGATCTGATTTACCGATTTGGGGCATTCGGGTTTCGGGATGAGGCCAGAAATCACGCTATCATGACCCGAAACTGGCCCTAGATAGCTGCGGCTCGATTGATGAGCGATCGACGGAGGAAGAATGAAGCAGGAGTGGCGCGGCGAGCGTACCTGCAGCTCGGTGGTGACGGGGTACTCGTCCATGTCGACGTAGTTCTTGTTGACGGAGGCCTGGATGAGCTTGTCGCACTCGGGCTCCATCCACGTGGTGACGAAGGACGCCAGGTTCAGCCGCGGGTTCCCGTCCAGCATCAGCTCGTCGTTGATGATCTGGTACGCCGCCTCCTTGGGGATCGACTGCTCCGGCATCCGGAACCTGCGGGCGGGCCAGGCAGCAGGCGGTTAGCGGCGGGCTGGTCCGACGAAGAAAACCGCAGCGCGGAATGCTCCCGAGAGAGCGCAGGAGGAAACCGGCCCGGCCAAGGGGCGGCGCGGCAGCGGCACACGTGCCTGGGCAGGGAGGTGCGGACGTAGCGGGACGCGAACGTGGAGTGGACGGACTCATCGGAGCCGCCGACGCCGTGTGACAGCACCATGTCGTTCGTCGATCTCTCGCCGGCGGGGAGGAAGAGGGGTGTTTTGCTGCTGCTGCTGGTGTTGGTGGCGGCTTGGGGGAGGGGGATATAGTATAGCCTAGAGCAGGAACCGACGCTCGACGCGGTCGACCCGCGGCTTAGCGGCACTATTAATTATGGGATGGCATGCGTGGTGAGGAAAAAAACAGAGAAGCCTTGCCTCCGAGGTAATAAAAGTAAAACGAGCGTGTACTTCTGGGCCCGTGTTACATGAGCGCGGTGTGACGGTGTGTACTGACCGATCGGCGACGGCGATCAACCTTCGCCACGGCCTTTCTACGCGGAAAGTTTCCGAATATTACTCGTCACGCGCTCCTTCCATGTTGCTCCACCTCTTTCTCTTCTTCTCTTCCCTTATTAGATAATAAAAATTAATTAATTAGTACTGATAAATAAATAAATAAAATAAAATAATATTGTTAGTGGAGGATAGGTTTCCCTGATGTCGGCGGGAAGCAAGGTGATACGATGGATGGACGGTGGACGGTAGAGGAAGGGAGGTCGGTGATTCTTCTGTTTTTGGTGACACGCTTTCATGTTACCACTGTTTTTTTTTATTATTATTTCAAACGTATTACCCTAATCCAAGCATGCCTGCACACCTCTTGGCTCTTGCTTTTTCTATTGGCGGATACCGGATAGAGAGAACTTGAAAGGTCTGTTCGTTTGTACTTGTACGCGTATGAATATGACAGGGGCCAAGCACGGTGGGAATATGGAGTGGTTGTTGGGAGATCTTGCTCCTCATGAGCGTCGTCCACTACTGTTAACCATCGATTCAAATTAAGCACCCTACAATCCTTGCTCTAAAAGAACTCCAATGGTTTGGGCCTTTGGGGCCGGCCATCTCACTTTTATGATGACCATCTACTCAATACTACGGATCAAGTCCTTTTCAACAAATTTAGAAAAAAAACAACAACACTCTAACTTTAAAGACACGTCTATTAAAATACTCCCTCCATCCCACGATAAAAATACATTTAGTATTTGGACTCCCAGATTAGTGAAGTTAGCAAATTACACTGCTACCCCTATAAAGATGTCTGACAGTTCAGAGGATTGTTCACATATTCAGAGAGGCCAGTAGGCTGAAGTCACGGGCAGCTTTTGAATGGAGCCTCCGTTGATTTTTTTTTTGTTTTCTTTTTTCTTTTGACGAGATTTTCTTTTCTCGGTCCACGAACTGGCGTAAAGTTGCTGCTGTGCTGTCACGCTGGGGCCTCAATAGATACAGTAGCCTAGTATATGGCCTATATGTGCCCATTAATTTAGAAAAAAAATTGAATCACAGATACGCTTTTATTTTGGGACTGAGGGATTACTCAACAACATTTATAAAATCTCCCAAGAATCCCCATAAAATAATTATTAAATTGTTTCCTAGTTCAAACAAAAGAGTCATCGGAAAAAAATAGCTTGGCAGACCAACTTTGCACATCTCTACCTCCAAAATTCATGTTAGATCTCTAATTTACAGGTTAAATTAAAGCGGTCTAGATATTGATATCTAGTCCAAACTATAAATAAATAAATCATCTATATGTATCTCTAGCTTTTTAGGTGCTACAAATAACTGAATTTCTTAGAGCTAGAGCTCGTTCAAACGGCATTCAGTGAACTGTTTAACAAATCTTGTATCTGCTCATCAAATTTCTTGTTGCTCACACGGTTGCCTTTCTTTCGAGTTGCAACTATGATCTTCAATACATCTGTTGACTTAATATTTTATAGGGGGTGTTCGACTGGTATGATTGTGTAGGAATTTGGATGGTTTGGAGAAATTCTGGAGGAATTTGTGAGAGAAAAATACTGTTCCGGATGAAAAAAGAAGCGGATCAAGCCGGGTTTAAGGGCACGCGAACGGGGCCATAGTTGTTTATTATAATTAATATTTTTTTATAAGTCTTGTGTTAGGCTTTACAGTTATAGAAAATGACATATAGAAAGCATCATTTTTTTTCTAAATGAGAAAACATGATTTTAAATATTGTAAGACAAGAGTAATTAAAGTGCACTAGCAGCTCTTTAACCTTGTCCCATGATGTCATCTATCTAGATTCTAGAGTGCTAAACTTTTACAGTGATATATGCCTAAACGTATTAACTGTGAAAGGTCCTATCTCTTCTAATCAATGGCAACAGAGTGAAGATGTCAAAATCTTCCAGAGAACACAGTCGAACCATCTATATAATCCATATGTCCACAATTATTTGTTGACCAACTTTCACATGCCTTTCTAATCAATGCCATGCAGTTTTATAGAGTTAAATTTCAAGACAGATTTACACCTATCATTTTATAGAGTTAAATTTCAAGACAAATTACACCTATATCACTTCCAAACGCTGAAACAAAATGTGTAAAATATTTTTCAAGACAAATCTGAACGTACCTCTTCCAAAATGTTACTTATTCAAGAATGGATAGGGAGTATTTAATTTCGTTGTCCCTAAGTTAGTGTGGCTGCGGCACTTTCAACTCTAGTAGCTACCTGAATTATGCACGCGAGCTGTCATGATCAACGTGACGGCAAAGTAATCGTTCCCGTTCTGATCTGTAATAAATTTGCGTGCAACTTGTGGGTGCGCAATAGACTATTCATGTCAGATTCCCAGTGATCAAGCCACGAACCCTACCCATGATTAAGCGAAAAAGAATTCGGCTGCACGCTGGAGCTGTTTTTTTATTTCCTTGATTCTCCACCTGAAACTAGCGCCCTTTTTTTCAAGGCACCCGGGATCCCTAATAGGTCTGTTTTCCAGCAAAAAGCTCGGTCCAGCAGATGACATTATCGGACGACGCGCAACTCCTTGGCCGGTCCAGATAACTAACGACAGGCTGGAAGAGTGATCCAGTCTCCGACCGGAAGGTCTCCGACTCCGACCAGCTTCTCCGACCGGAAGGCCTGGCCAGGAAGGGGCGACGCTCGCTTCCGACTCCGACCTGCTTCTCCAACCGGAAGGCCTGGCCATGGAGGGGACGACGCTCGCTTCCGACTCCGACCCGCGTCTCCGATCGAAAGGCCTAGCCAATGAGGGGACGGCGCTCGCTTCCGACTCCAACCCGCGTCTCCGACCAGGAATACATCGAACCTCTGCTTACGGCTCTTCTCCGACCGGCGTGGTCGGAGCCGTCTAGGAACGACCAAACAGGGACGCCCGCTCGGTGAGGACCCGAGAAATCAGGCGGAGCAGATAAGGTAAGGCGCACAAGTCAACCGCAATACCGAGGACCATACCCTACACACCCGTAGGACAGTACTGTCAGGCCCTATCGGAAGGGTACTTTACAACCTTCTAGATATGTCGGAACACGAACAGTGTTGTGGGCGCCGATATTTGTCCTACAGTATGGTAGGCGCCGACATTCGCCATACCAGAAGAACATAATGGAACCAACCACATGCATCAGGGCATCAACAGTATTGTGGGCGCCGACAAACCGTCTTGTACTCAACGGCGTGGGCAACAAGACTAGGTAGCACACACACTCTCTCTCTCACTTGTAAGGCCGTCCCCTTCATCTATAAAAGGGGATGCGCCCTCTCCCAACGAAGATAGACGACAACAAACGAACGACAGACGGATCATTCTGACTCACTCTCTGCTAGCTTTAGACATCCTAAAGCTACACAGAGCATACATTCCAATACATATCGCACGTAGGAACTCACGTCACTCTCGGCCCTTTGGACCAAAGTCCGACCAGACTTCCTACACCCCCCATATTACTCCCACTCGTTTGTAACCCCACAGCAAACTTCGAGCACCTGGGCTCAGGAATAAAGTCACCGACCGACTCAAACTGGACGTAGGGCACGTTGCCTGAACCAGTATAAACCATGTGTCATTGAGTGTTAGGCCATATCCGATCACAACGTACAGCAAAATGACAAATATTTACTAGTTGGTTACTTTTCGCACCGACAGTTGGTACCGTCTGTGGGGAGGACGTCGTACGTTCATGGTTTAGGTCATCGGATGGCCCACCTTTCAGCCATCTTCGGCATGGCGGGCTCAAGCGATACAACTGGCTTCGGCTCGCAGGAGTTTCCCACACTCCCACATGTTGGGATGTGGGTTCCTCCCGTCATTGAGCCGTCCCAGGCCTTCCTCTTCGGAAGCCTAGACTTCGTCGCCGACCGGCTCGGCGTGCTTCACCTCCGTGAGGAGGTACTTGCCTTGGCGCCCATCGGAGGAGGAGCGCCCTCCGTTAGCTCCGGGCCACCCGGCGACCTCAACAACGAGACGACTACGCTCCGCTCTGAGCCCACGCTGGGCTCAAACCCCACTGTGAGTAACGTACATATTATTCTTTACTCGCTATTCAATATCTTCCGCCGACTCTCTCGGAGGGACCCCGTTGTCCCCACCGCGACTGCCTTGCAACCGGTTCCCCTACGGCCTCGCGTCCCCCATAGACGCGTACGCGCGGGGGCTCCAAAAGATGCTGACGCCGCCCCCTCTCACATCTGAATTCATGGGGATGGCGGGCTATGCTCCCGCCTCTTTCTACGACCTCATGGATGACGAGGTAGAAAGCGACGGATCCAGCATCGACGACGTCGTGGCACCTAGCCACCCTCTATCCCGGGAGTACGCTATGGCGGATGCTCCGGGACAGCCATCGGTGGTAGCAGAGTCCCTACAGACTCACACCCCTTCGGACCCTAGTGTGGAGGCCCTCGCGCGTGCGTAGGAGCACGACGAGGAGCTACGACAGAGGTGGCA